AGCAAATAAGGTGTTTGTATCGGGTAGAAAGCAGCAACTATTGTTGTGCATGCAAGCTTGGCGCGTAATGAAACAGAGCGCACCGTTCGCGTACGGAACGATTACGTTTAGAGTCCTATACCAGTAATGTGAAACGGATCCGTTGGTGAGAAATCTGAAGCTCAGTCAGCTTAGAATTATACAAATACGTTAAATTTGTTCTAATAACAAAAGACTAAAAACAAACAGTTCATGTATTTCATGTCATAATGCAAGTATAGTGTAAATCCTACTTCAATCGGAGTTTTGAATAGATGAAATTGTTCGTGTTTATATGGGTAACACTAGTATGTATAGTATAATACAAGGCCAGGGGATCATGGTCTGTAGAAATCGTTAACGAACGTTTTCATTCCTAGCTTGTTTAGACAATTTGCATGGGGCCTTGAAGCAGCGATTTTGCGCAACTGTATATTTACATTTTACGGTGTGGACGTTGTCATTATAGTAATGATATAATTATCTTCATACAAAAAATACCACCGCTATAGGATCAGATATGTTAGACCGCCTTTCAGTTGACTGTCATATTTATATTAATAATAACACCTGTCGTTTCACGTCAGCGTAAACTATCATTACCATGTCGTGTTGGAAAGGACTCGAATGTCCTAGAGATTTACTTACACATTTTCGGTACAGCAACACACACGTGTGACAGTCATCGATCGTTACCTTAGAAACAGAGCAATGACGTAAATACACACGTAAAACTCACCTGTCATTTTGCTGGTTTCCACACCTGTCCAGACTATCGTATTTCCCTCTCATTGACGTACACTTGGTATCCCAGGTACAATAAGCATCAATGACAACTACTCCTAATCATTTCCGTACGCATCATATATACTCGATAAGCTAAATGAAATCCAGGTAACAAAACACATCAGATATATATCTCAACGGTCACTTTTCATAATCGAATACACTTGTAACACCTGAACACAATACTTGGTGTACCGCCGTCTCTATCAACCCCTAATACAGCGGGTAATACAAGTGAAAGCAATCCAACAATATGTTCTATTCATGATCCAACAATTTCTCGTACAGCTCTGGAAAATCGTCCACTCAACCATACCATGGGACGTATGTTACCTATTAGGGACCTTTCCAGAAATGGACGGATTTGAAGCAAGAACATGAATCGATAACTTCTTCGGAGGCTAAGTCCGTGCTTTAAACTTTCAGGTGGTCGTCAACCATAGCTTGTTTCTCTACTGACCTCTCCGGATTGTCAACACGAATTTAAGTGTACACGGTCTATAACTCTGAGCCTATAGGCAAGAGTATATAGATACATCTATACATATACACAGGTTCAATTTTCCCTGGTGGGTCGGCTCACGCATACAAACGTACACACCGGTTCTGCTAGAATGAGTATTTTTTTTTTCACTAAGCTCGAAACTCTCTACTTCTTCACTGCATGCGTACGTCACTGCGGCTTTCGACAATGTAAATGTTCCAACGACTCCGTGTTTACACATGCCAGCAGGCCAAAACTTACACGGCACGAGTTCTCTGTCCACTGAGCAAACACAAGTGGTCCGTATAGCTTCCTCTTATAGAACTAATGAAAAGTACACTGAAAATCAGCATTGTTTTGTCCACCCGTTCGATATCTCTAGACTTTTGAAGGCCGAGAGAAGTATGTCGCGGCACTTTTCACAGTTAGTCGTCCGTCCTAGTATTGCTGAGTATTGACCGGTAAGGAGAAAATATATCTATGACGATAACATTAGGGTGTCGTTTGGAGAGTAAGGCGTTGTAACTAGTCAAGGAAACCATTGTATGGATAGGTAAAGGGTTCACCGTCTTGATCGCTTGCGTTTTAATCTATAACAAATGACACCTGAACTTTAGTATGTGTATGCTCGTCAATGGATGATTACCGCTGTGACCAGGTAGATAGTACGGCTTGCATAGAGATCTTAGCCTAGAGGTCATTGGTTTGACTCCTGCTGAGGGCAACTGATATTATGGGTAAAGACATCGATTAAATTCAATCCTGAAGGATGTTTTTTACAGTCCTGTAAAGTAGTCACTTGGTCTGGTATTTCACCGACGTAGGGCGAAATCGGCTAAACTTGTGTTTATTTTAATGAATTCCTTTGACTTCTACAAGGAGCAAATCACCATCACCGAATTTGCAGACCTGTATATTAAAGTTACATTAACGACGGATGTCAACACACTTGCTTCTACCCGGATTTGTTCATTGGTGCATGCAGATCACAGAGCGGAGTGTTTACGTGGTGATATAAAACCATTCAGATAATACCAAAATGTGAATATAATCATAACCCAAACTCAAATTCAGTCATACTAGTGCAACTGTAAAAGGGCAGCGATGATAAATAAGACCATGTGTTCCGGAAGAGTAAGCATCTTTTGCTTCATCGAGAACACCCTCATGTAAATCTTAGTCAACCCGAGTAAGTGATGTCACGTTCTTAAATGGGAACAAAGTACACAACAGCGAAACCAACAGGCAAAATAAACAAGCATCAAAAACGTCCAGATGCACATCGCACAAAGAAATCGAATCTTTCTGTATGAGATCACGACCGTCAAACTTCATACTTAGACAGTGAAATGAATATATAAGTAATTACAAACTTAGAACTGTAATAAAAGTTACGTTTTCTAATAAGTATCGGGAATGCGTGACGGTTTTGTAATTTGGTGGACATTTGTATGCTTTAGCCACAACCTAATACTGATAGGATCCCATTCCTACCTGAAAGTAAACTGCAATCATGTCGATGAATTTAATCTGGAGCCATATATACAGTACGACAATTTAAGTTTAACAAACTCGAGTAAAACAATACATGACTTTTATATTAAAGTTGTTCGACTTGATTTGTAGACATGGTCGACATGAAATGATCATATATTTCAGTCAAATCACTTATATACGGCTTGATAAGACCTGACATTTCTAGGTTTTAATTTCCAATAGACTCATTATCACATTCTTATAGTAGGTTGAATCAAAGACAATAAACCGAAAATAAAATCGGATGTTCAGGGCATCAAAAACAATTAACCGGAAATGAAAGGGATGTTCAAGGCATCAAAGACAATATACCGGAAATGAAATAGGATGTTCAAGGCATCAAAGACAATATACCGGAAATGAAATAGGATGTTCAAGGCATCAATGACAATATACCGGAAATGAAATGGAATGTTCAAGGAATCAAAGACAATATACCGGAAATGAAATCGGATGTTCAATGCATCAAAGACAATATACCGGAAATATTTCAGAAATGAAATCGGATGTTCAAGGCATCGAAAATCAATAAACCCGACATTATGTGACATTACTACATGAAGTTTGAATTGATCTATATGATGTCATACAGGATACTCCTGACAATAAACTGGGTATAAAAATAGATATTCCGGGCATCGAAGATCAACAAACAGGAAACGGAATTTGCTGATCCATCCACCGAAGTTCTTTAAATCGGAAAAGAAAATGGAATGTTTCGGTCATCGAGGATGAATTTATCGGAAAAGAAAATGATTCTTCCAGACAAGACAGTAATACAACACTTATTATGTAAGTAATCAAGTGTTAGACCTTCTTCCTCTAGATCATAAAATATTAAGGTGCCTGAATATCAGAAGCCGAGCCTTACGGTCTAGGAATAGATATGACATGAACATGCCCCCAACATTTTCTTATCATAACACATTCATGTCAGGGCGACGTCAAGACTATTTACTAATGTAGTTAGTGAGATGGAGAGAACGCGATAACGCCTTGCTCCGAGAGTATGACCTTGACTGCGCGTTTATTTTCAAACGACCAAGCTAGGTTACAAATCTACAGGTAGGAAAGACGACTAGGCCATTGACTACTGGCTGGTTTAAAAAACCCAACGCGCATGAAGTCTCAAATTTGGTCAAATTGTATAATGACTTACCATGCAAGAATCCAACGGTAACAAATATACATGAACAGAATAAGGCCATACAAGACCATACCTACATTGTACGTGTACAGTATTACACCACAAACCACCATTTGTTTTTATTGTGATTAACAAAGAAACGACAAAAACGAGGCCAAAGAGGAAGAACTCGGTCGTCCGGACTGCGTCATTTGCAGGCCTTTTTAGATAACTTTACTCTGTGTCGAAACATCTTACTTAGTGGTGTGTATATAGTCGGAGTTCAGTTTATATCGTATAACAGTACAGATGTTCTAAAACTAGACGTAACAAAGATAAACCCGGAGGTATTCCAACGAAAAAAGAACATACCAAAAAGTATTACTTTGTACAGTTTCCAATCAGTGCAAACGTTTATGCGCTGGTTGCATGCAAAACAATTCAAGAAGCTTATCTGATAAAGTTTCAAAAGCCATTTGCTAAATTTCTGTATCCGTAGATAAAGGCAATAGTACGACCGGCTGTGGAGACGCTCAGGTTTTATGATTTGTGAAGGTTATACACATTGCAGCACATACGGATAGGCAACTAATGCCATGGTAAGTGTTACTAACCATTGATACCAGCAAAACACTCTAGTTTGATTGCCATGTTTTAGTTAATACTGAGTGAAATCATTGTCCCGAGTTTCATTTTAACTCGGAGGGAGTTTTGACTTATCAGGCTGTGTATAATTAGATTTCGCTGCTTTTAAGTTTACACATTATTGAAAATATTTGCTAGACAGAAAACCAGAAGTGCAATTTGTAGACATATCGCTTTCCCAGGCAGTAAATATATTTCCGGTGAGTTGCAGTGACTAAAGTTACTTTTAAAGTAGCTTATTAATTTATATTATTATGCAACACAAACTTATCACCAAGTTTCAAATGCTTCTTTGATTTCAGAGGTGTCAGAATCACATATACACGTGATGCAGCGAGTGATATATGTATAATATAATGGTATAACGACATACATTGACTTCGATGAAGTTGTTAAATCTCTTACCTGAATTAAAACTCATAGGACTGGTAAGATGACTGTGAACAGAACCCTGCACCTTGGATTTTGACACTGCAACGAAAAAAAAAGCAATATGATGTCTGTGTGATATTGAATTGCTGTCATCTGATAGCAGAGTGCAATTATGACGTAATGATTACGTCAAATCGCGATCGACTATATATGATAAACACAGTGTTTTGTACCAGCTGTTTTAAGGTTAATATCAGCGTAGGAGAAACTGAAACAAATCGACACACATTCCAGCAGTGTGACACAGCTCGTCACGTACACCGATACATGTGTTACCTAGCATCTGGTCAACAGATGACCATATGACATCCACACTGGACATAGCATTGTAAGCTTAATATAGATAAATAACCGACTATATCAGGATATCAGTTTAACAGTACAGTCTTTTTTTTATAGGATTCTTTAGTGAAGAATGTTTTAGGGGGGCTACATTTATAGTAACACAGGAGGGATTACTTAAAGACAATGACATAATACTGCAACAACAATACTATCGATAAAACAAATGTTTGTTATATTCAGGATTTTTCACAATTATACAAAAGTTCTGTCAAAGTTTAACGTTTAGGGGAAACACTATCAATAAGGCAAGATTTCTTTTTCTTTCAAATAAAAGAATCCTAATTCTTTCACTCGCATTAAAGTGGCACGTTTAAAGAAAACAATTCATGAACAGAAATGTTTTCTACATGAGTTTTTGTCAGTACCTCGAACATTTGTTATAGAACAGTGGTTCGTCACCAATAAGACACGTTCACGTGAACACAGCTAACAAAACATAAGTGACGTGAATACTTTAAACGATACTTTGTCGATATTGATCGGACAACCTTTCGCGCACATGTCATCTAGACAATTCCTATATCAATATTTATCAAGACTATTATATTGATAAGAAACATATGCGTCGACTAAAAAGCTTTCTCTATCAAGATATTTCCTCACTGCTCCTCAATCTTTGCAAATTCTTACATACATTTCACGAACAACAAACAGGAGAGTTCAAATGCTTGTTGCCAACAACTTAAGATAAATATTATTCAATTTATATAAACCCGCGCCATCGACTTCAGCAGCTAACTTTATTTGAGAAGACGATACATCATTCATCAGCTTTTCTCAAGAAAAGTTCTGACAAATTTGGAATTTACAGTTTCAAGTGTATAGCTTGTATCTGTAAATCTTCATTCTATCTAACCACAGGATTTTGATATTCTCGATTCAATGGAGTCCGTAGCTTGACCAAAACATGCTTACATGTCTCAATTCGACAAAAGCAGGATAAATATAAGTTACAGAGCCTAACCTCTCACTGATGGAACTTTGAATGAGCCCCTAAGAAGATAAGAAGGAGCAGTAATGGAATTCAACCAGTGTGTGTCTGTGGTTAGATTTTTGGATTTGTTTCCGATGTACCAAGAACCTATAGATAAGCTATAACACTGATCCTAATCAAAGGACTATAACTCCTTAAATGTTCATATATCATGTTTCTTGAATTTAAAAGCAACATACGTTCATTTTCTTTTTATGTTTGCTTCACTTTGTCAGCGTTTTACAATAACTCGCAACAATGACACCCGAAACAAACATTTCTACTGAAGGGAAATTCCAAACAAACATCTCTAGTAAGTGAAAGTCCAAACACACATCTAAATTGAAGGGAAACTCTAAACACATATCTCTACACAAGGGAAATCCAATACACAAATCTCTACTTGAGGAAACTCCAAACACACATCTCTAGTAAGTGAAAGTCCAAACACACATCTCTAGTAAGTGAAAGTCCAAACACACGTCTCTACGAAGGAAACTCCAAACATACACCTTTACTGGAGGGAAACACCAAAACATATCAAATTGAAGGGAAACTCTAAACACATATCTCTACACAAGGGAAATTCAATACACAACTCTCTACTTGAGGAAACTCCACTCACATATCTCTACTAAGAAAACTCCAAACACACGTCACTACAGAAGGAACATTTAAAACAATCACCTTGCAGTTTAAAAACTCTGTATATGCTCATAGGACTTCTGCTTAAAAATCAATACATACACCCCTGCTGACACGAAACTGAATACATATAAACCTACTGAAATAAAACTTAATACATACACCTCTGTTCAAAGGAAACTCAATATGTACACCCCTGCTGACACGAAACTGAATACATACACCTCTGTTCAAAGGAAACTCCATACATACACCCCTGCTGAAATGAAACTCCATACATACACCCCTGCTGAAATGAAACTCCATACATACACCTCTGTTCAAAGGAAACTCAATACATACACCTCTGTTCAAGGGAAATTAAATGATATATAATGGAATCTCAAGTATAATGGTTTACTTTAAAGGAAGATGAAATTTATCAATTAGTAGTGTTAATTTAAAAGTGATCAATTTAAATGAAATGCGCACCCGCATCCACAGGCATTTTACAGAAAAAATAAGTGATAGGTTCATTCCCCCAAGGAGACATGTGCACCGCTCATTATGGTAATTAAAGAACACGAAATTAATTAACCTTAAGATGAAATGTTGAAGGGTCAGTGTTTTATTCTTGCTATTTAATCATTGGCATACATTTGATTGATTGTATATCTTTTCAATGCAGTCCCTTCATCCAACACATACAGTAAGCATGCATTCCAACAGTCGCATGAAAGGTCCACAAGTATTTGAACCCTTCAAAACAATCATTCATTATCATAGATATTTAAAAGATTTAAAAATTCTACGAAATGTATATAAACATGACATGGATACAATCTTAATAGTGGCATAATTAATATACCCTTCCTGGATTCATTTTAAGATTTCAAGATTTCTGAGTTAAGACTATACTTCACGTAATTTATGTCAAAGGATTCTCCGTATTTCACACCTGTAACCGGTGTGAAATACGGAGAATCATTTGATATAAATTACGTGTACTTCAGACACAGGCTGATGTAGTTTGTGTTTACATCATATCAGACGATATATCCGAGTTTGTGTAGAGACTATAAACATGTCGACTAAATGCAATGTACCGTGAGAGACACGATCGCTCTAACAGACAGGAATAAATGATAGAGTTCATCAACTGTTAATACCATTCACGGTAAATATACCAACTTCAAAAACTTCAAAATCCCTTCTGTACTTTAATAATGGATTTTTAAATAAATATACGACAAAACAGAAATATGTATTAATAATGTCATTTCAGTGTAAACAATCTGGTTTATACGGAGTTGGATACACAAAGGATGTTTATTTCCTGATCTGTAATAAATAGACAAACATTTTATATGACATTGTGTTCTTGTATCTGAAAATTGGACCAAAGTATTCATTTAGAGTTATGAGGCATGTGTTTTAATAAAATACATAAAATAAATAAATATAATTATTCTAAAGTATTTCGATAAACGTGAAGGCCTGTCTATCTGTTACAGTCCAGGGCCAATATGAGTGTTCATTCTTTATTTGAGAATCAGTACCACGACAAAAAAACCACAAAGGCACAATATGAAGAGCACAGACAAAGAGGTTACTAACATATCAAACAAAGAATTAGGACATTACTCGTGATTTCGACCAATGGACATCTATTTGATTCCCTTGTCTACATGTGTCTTGGACAACTCTTGAATATCGAATCAACATTTAAACACCACCATAAGATTGAATGTTTCTATACATATACCGTATTAGTACCTATTGTAAGGAGTCAAAATCCATGTAAACGACTGATGAAGATTTGTTGGCTCCTTGGTTCGAAGCCGATGATAATATAAAAAATATTTTTATACAAAGAATTTAAGTCGTCGACAATTCTGATTGCGGACTTAAGGAATCTAACAGTCGGTTTCTTTTCAGCCTCTCGCGATAACAGTGAATTTACTAAAAGAAGGACATATATTACTCCGCTGTGTGCGCAAAAAGACTGCTGAAAATTCTGGTTACATCAAAACTAATGGCACCAGGTATAAAATCTTATTGGAATATGTTTTACATGACGAAAAACCAAAACACATCTACAAAAAACAGAGATAAAGAAGGTGACACTATATAAACACATAAGTGTAATTAATGAGCCCTAGAGAACAATTAAAAGTTTAAAAACATAGGCAGAAAGTCTATTTAATATACTTAATCATATCGCGTTTGAGCAAGCGTCCGAATCAGCAATCTGATCAAACATAATTGAAAGTAGGTCTCAACTACAAGGACATTTATAACTGTATCACGTGATGGAGTGTTGCAGGGATTATCACCATTCTGTAATTTGTCTAACGTGCACGTATAAGGACATTGGATAAGGAAATATTTTCACGAAATTATGAACAAGACACAAACAAAGGGTGCTTGAAATTCCTACTATCTGTGACTTTCATATAGCTTTACTTAGTAAAGATCAGGCTGTCATCGAGCGAATTCCTATGGAGCCCAATAAATCCTTACCCTGCTCATTTCTCCTGTTATTAGTAACACCTTTAGACAGCAGTGTTTAGTCTATAACACCTTAAGGCAGCAATTTTTAGTCTAAGTGTATGCCCAAAGTCTGCCTTTTGCCGGAGTTCCAACCAAGTATTGCTGAAGTTGTAAAATGTTAAAATTAACAGAATATTATGTGTTAAGTAACATATGCAGTAACGTATTTGTAATCACCATATGTCACATCACCCAGCGAAAGGTTTTTTTATCAGTCTACACCCGGCGAAGAAATCATTTAAAACACATATCCACTGAACGCATTTACAAGCACGTAATGTGTGTTTTATCTGAAGTTATTTGAATATTTAAATTCCGATATTACCAATAACACTTACGGCGATATCAAAGGAACACCATGTTAAACACTTACAGACTTTATCAAGTCATACTTACGTCTTAATACTTTAGCTATCTCAGCTGGTTAATAATGCAGCTATTACGGGTACTTAGAACAGATACCGGGTGGACTTTAATGATGCTCAAAACAGGTACTGACACTAAGGACAGAGACACAATATATTTTCTTCTTTTAAAACATTGG